GTTCCAAGAACAAAAACAATGTTCTTAGAACATAAACCCGATGTGCAAAAACAAGACAGACTCCACCAGAACTGTTCACCGAACATTTCGTGGGAACCACAGAGGGTTCGTAGAATATGATTTGGTAGAGCTATAGGCGAGCCAGGACGCTTCGCCACTGCTTGACAACTGGCCCTCGCTCCGAGCTGCGGGAGGCTGGCAGCCCGGCGTCTCCAGACCGCTGGGGGCCGCCTGGCCCCCGTCGGCGCGCTGGAGAGGGACCGCGCGCACAGAGCGCCTGCCCACCGGCAGCGCCTCCCGAGGCCACACGGCGGGGAGGCAAGCTGGCCGGCGGCGAGCCCAGACCCCCTCGAGGAATGCAAGGATCACGACGGGATGTGTTTCGTCATGTTTGGCATCTGGGGGCCCTCGCTGGGCCTCGGGACCGTCAAATCATAGCGACTCAGGATGAGAAGCCGGCCCCAGGGAATGGGTCGAGACCTCTCGGGGTCGACGTTATGAACAGATCATGACGTCGGGGGTCCGGGAGCCCATGCAGGGCGGGGAGTGCAGAAAACTCTGGCGGCCTCGGGCCTCCCGAGAAGTGCGCGGAGCCCTCTCCGGAGGCAGAGGCGGCGTCTTGCAGAAGGCGACGGGGCTTCTGAGAAGCCCCGTCGCCGCCGAGCTGGGAGGCCGTGTCGGCAAACGCGCCAACTATGCTACAGGCCACTGTCGGAGAAGCACCAGGTCACCAGGCCTTCAGACACAAGCGACCGCGCAACGCGCCGGCCTCCAACAGTGGCAAAGGTTGGGCACGCCAGCCCAGGCGGGCGGAGGGTGCGCGGAGGGCGATCCTCGTGGCACACGGGCGGCCTCGGCGCTGACAGAAGCGCACTGGCCAAAGGGACGCTTCAGGATATGATTGGCGAGGCGAAGGGCCCCTGGTGGCAACGAGCCCGCAACAGGCGCAGACGGCCACAGGGGCCAGAGACTGACGGGCGACACCCCCAGGAGAAGTGGGCAGACGAAGGGCGGGTGTGGAGCGATCTGCGCCGCCATCGGGGCCGCCAGTCCAAGGGCGGCCAGAAAGCACACGCCGCGTCCATGCTCTGGCAGAGAACCCAACCCAGTGCAAACGCCAGCAGGAGCAGACCATGCACATGAACATACCGAGAAGAAATGCGATATCCCTGAACGCTTCGCCAAGAAACGGAATCTTACACTCAAGGAGGAGGGAGGGGGAACCTCTATGGGATACTATTAACGCTGCAGGCAGGTAACGCAGCCGAGGAGGGAGGAGGGGGAAGAGAAAGGAGGGGGAGGCGGAGGATGGAAGGAGGAGACGCGCGGCGCTGCGAACGTGAAGCGAGGACCCGGCGCACGCGAGGGTTTGGGCAAGAGACGCGCTGTTGTGACCTGGCAGTCACTGCACCGACCTGGCAGACGTGCTGTTGCGGATGTTTGGGATGGATATCTGTCAATGCAAACACCGGAAAACGGCGAGCGAAAAACGAAGTGGATTTCGCGTGGAGTTTTGTTTAGTCCCACGACAGCACGAAATTCCCTCCGAAATCTGGAGTGGAATTCTCCAGGACACTCCGGGCCCATCCCAGTGTCCTCCGAACAAAATCCGCTCTGCGATGAAAGCGCCATGACAAAAGCGTTGTAGCCAGGCGCCCCCGATGGCCGAGCAGCTCGCTGCATGCCCCCCCCCCTCTGTGGCATCCGCCGCGGATGGAGCGCCTGCCGCGCCTCCTCCCGCGCCGCGGGCGGATCACGACGGGAGTGCTCCTGAGCTTTCGGCCCTGCAAAGGGGGTGAGAGGGGCAACGGCAGGAGGGGGAAAGTCAGGCACACGGGGGGGGGGATGCATCGACCTCGAGAGTGGCCAATGCGTCGCCCATGCAGCCTCGGGAGGTATTTTGTTGTGTTGGTCCCCGTGCCTCTGTTTCTCCCGGCAGCGAATCCAGCTCGGCCCGCCTCCTCCTCTCCCTCGTCCTCCTCCTCTCCCTCCTCCTCCTCCTCCCCTTTTCCTCCTCCTCCTCCTCATCCTCCTCTCCCTCCCTCCTCCTCCTCCTCTCATCCTGCTCCCTCCCTGCTGCTCCTCCTCCTTATCCTCCCCTCCTCCTCCTCATCCTCCTCCCCTCCTCCTCCTCCTCCTCCTCCTCCTCCTCCTCCTCCTCCTCCTCCCCTCCTCGCCGTCGTCGCGGCGAGATTATTGTCTCGTTCTTGTTGGGCTGGCTGGATGATTCTGGGGGCTTCTTGCTGCCAGGGAATGTCCACTGTGGGCTACCCTATACGCGAGGGGATTCGTGAGCATCTTCTCATTAGGATGGCAATGGGAATCAGTGGTTGTGGATGCAGTAGTGATTGTGGTCGCGGCTGCAATCGTAATTGTAGTCGTGAGTGTAATCGAGATTGTAGTCGCAATCGTAGTCGTCGTCGTCGTCGTCGTCGTCGTCGTCGTCGTCGTCGTCGTCGTCGTCGTCGTCGTCGTCGTCGTCGTCGCGGCGGAAATTATTTTCCCTCCGATGTTCGCCGCGCTGGAACACGTTGGGGGCTCTGTCCCAGCGGATAATGATCTCTGGGCGACCCTGCACGGCAGAGGAAGTTTGATCGACTCATTCTTCGCCCAAGGCGTTGCGCACAATCTACTTCTCGTAACCGTTGCCGTATCCGTAGCCTCAATCGTATCGTGGTCGTAGTCGTAATCGTAGTCGTAGTCGTCGTCGTTGCGTGGTGGGTCCCGCGGAGAAACATTTATTTTTCACGAATGGTGGGGCCCAAATCCGTCAACAAGGCAGCCGGAAACATGTAATTTCCACGATTGGGGGGTGGTCCAAAGACCTAGCAGAGTTATCGTCGATACATCGTCGATACAAACCGCCCCCTGTATCCTCTATGCATCGCCGATGCATCGCCCTGGTATCAACGACGCATCGTCGATGCATCATCCATTCGAAAACGATGCGTCCCCCCCTTTGCAGATCCCTGGGGACACCAGAAGGTACGGATACCGCTGCTCCCCAGACCTCTCCCGGGGCGCGTTCTGACCAGGACCTCGGGGCGAATCCAGAGGTGGCGTCCAGGGCCGCCAAGGAGGCCACCAAAAGGGGAAAACCAGGGAGAGGTAGAGGTAGGAGTAGCCTTCTGGTAGGCCTAGAGACTGACACCAACACCAAGGTTGGCGGCGTGCTTCCGCCCCGGCGGTGATGGTCATATTCGGGCTTCCCGGGTGGCTTCCCGGGTGGCTTCTAGGATATATCTTCCCCCTGTGGAGGCCCCCCCCCGCACTGTTGGTGCCGATGTGTGAACGTTGTCTTACTCGGCGTCTCGACATTGGGCGGAAGAGAGGGGGGGGGAGGGGACGTGGCTCCAAACCTCTGCTTCGTACGACTGCTTGCAGCAGTGCGTCCTGTGGGGGAGACCCCATCTGCTCGAAACAGGCGCCCCAAACCGCCAAGGAGGAGGAGGAGGAGGAGGAGGAGGAGGAGGAGGAGGAGGAGGAGGAGGAGGAGGAGGGAGGAGGAGGAGGAGGAGGAGGAGGAGGGGGGAGAGGAGGGGGGAGGGGGCAGGAGGAGGGGGGAGCGCGAGGGCCCTCGTCGATCGGCAAAACAAGGAACAAGCAAACGATCACTGGGCCTCCAACTCTTCCTCCTCTGACTGCCGTTGCCACCGGAGGGGGGGGAGGGGGGGGTGGGGCGGATTCGGGACCCGGGCACAGCTCGGCCGCTGGGCACCCCAGTGCGCCTCGGCCTTGCGGCGCCCACTCAAAAAGAAAGTCCAAGACGCCCCGGATGTGGATACGGGTGCTGCCTGCACCCAGGGCCGGCGGGCCGAACAGCGGCCCCGGCGCCGGAGCCGGAGGCGCGCTCGGAGGCCCGAGGGCGGCGGTGTCGGACGCCCTGTGCGAGAGCAAAGCCCTGTGCGAGAGCAAAGCCCTGACAGCACGCTGGATCTTCCACTTCCTCCTCCTCCTCATCCTCCACTCCTCCTCCTCCTCCTCCTCCTCCTCCTCCTCCTCCTCCTCCTCCTCCTCCTCCTCCCCCCTCATCTTCCTCCTCCTCCCCCCTCGTCTTTCTCCTCCTCCTCCTTCCTGCTCCGCCTCCTCCTCCTCTTCCTTTCTGTCCTCTCCGCTCTCTTCGATCTCCCCCTCTCTCTCTTTCTCACTTCACCTCCTTCTCCACCTTCCTCCCCTCCAGTCCTCCTTATTCTCCTCCTCCCATTCCCTCCTCAGCCCCGGCGTCTCTCCCCGAGCCCGAGAATCCGAGAGCCACGAAATGTGCAATTTCGCCCCCTTGCTTTCCCTCCTCCTCCTACTCCTCCTCCTCCTCCTCCTCCCCCTCCCCCTCCTCCTCCCCCTCCACCAGCCACTGCGAGCGATGCGCGCTGGGGCGGAGCTCAAGGCGCCGCCCCGCCCAGGGAATGCGTGGAGCGCACTGGCACCATCGGACAACTGCCAAGTTCGCCTGCGCCCGAATGATGTATACATGTAGCTACACGGCATCGGAAAAGCAGACGTGCCAGGACCGTGCGCTCGAGTGAAGCGAGGTCGGCAGTACCAATGTTCTGGCAAAGGAGAAGTGTCTTGACCGTGCGCTCGTGTGAAGCGAGGTCGTTAATAGTGCTAACACTGGTTAGAGCTCCTGCTCTAGCAGCCCGCCGCTGCGGCGAAAAACAACGTCTAGAAAGCGCCTTGGAACGAAGCGAGCGGGATCCCAGCCACGAGTCCTGCATTTTTGGGGGATCTATTACGAACAACGGATCGGAGCGAATACCAACGACCATGCGCGAGTTGGGATGCCTGCTGCCCGATCCCTCTCGCCGCCCTTGGCTGCAAGGCGTTGTGAGTTCCACACCACGAGGTTATGGTTGACATGGCACTGGGAAAAAAGCCAATATGCTCAATCACCTTCGTTCCCTCCATGTCTGTCTCTCTCCCTCTCTCTCTCTCTCTCTCCCTCTCTTTCTCTCTTTCTCTCTTTCTCTCTCTCTCTCTCTCTCTCTCTCCCCTTTCTCTCCTCTCCTTTTTCTACCCTTCCATCTTGTGTGCAGATGCAAAGCGGAAGGAGCTACTACTGTGTATGACGGCGCTGGGAAATCGATTCCCATCTGACTCCATCGGATCCGCAGGTTGAGGATCAAGTCCGATATGTGCAGGCTGGTCTGTGGATGCCGTGGGCATCGTCGCCGAGGTCATCACCCCTTGCTCAGCACCCAGTCCAGTCCCTAGCTCTCCGCGTGCGCTTGTCCCTCTGCTGCGCGGTCTCTCTTCTCCCTGCGCCACGGGCAGAAGTGGCAACGATTGCAGGCCGCGCCGTCCTTGCACACGCGACCGCCGCGCGAGTACTTGCAGGGCAGGGCGCAGCTGTGCGGATGGCCCGCGGACCCAATGCTGTGCACTTTTGCATCTGCTGCAGGCGCCTGGCCCGAAGCACCCGCATTCCCATCGGCCCCGGGCCACTCCCCTGCGCGGTGCTGGCCGCGGAAAGCCTTGCCGTCCAGAGCCTGACCACCCTCTGCACGCTCGCGCTGCAGCACGTCGGAGAGCAGCAGCCGCCGTAGGGGCCGTGGCGCCGCTGTGGGCAGCACGGTGGGGGCACCGCTGTGTGGCCCGTGGCACTGCTGCTCCTGGGGCGGCAGCGCGTGGCACCGTGAGGTCCGCGCTGCCGGCAGGTCGCGCGGGACGTACCCGTGCGACACGTACCACCCCTCGGGGGACGGCGTGCGGATTCTGGCCCAGCTGTGGCACTCGCCCCCGTCCTCGTGGCCGTCCTCGTGTTAGGTCGGGCATGTCCCCCAACAGGCAGGTTTTGGAGAAGAAATGAAAGATGGCCAAAACATAGCCAAACAAGATTCAAAGCTATCACAAAAAATCGTCGCCAGACTATTGTTTGTCTGTGTTTGACTTTTTCCTCCTGTAGAGGGACAGGCCCGGCTTAATCCTTGTGGCACCGCGGCGTGACGATCGTCGAATGCTCCTGGGCAGGCTGCCACGGCTGCTTCTCGGCCGAGCCCGCGAGGCTCGGCACCTTGGCTGCCGCGTGCTCCTTGTGGCCGTCCTCGCGGCACTGCGGCGCCGCGACCGCTGGGTGCTCATGGGCAGGCTGCCAGGGCTGCTCCTCGGCCGTGCCCGCGAGGCTCGGCACCTTGGCTGCCGCGTGCGCCCAGGCGAGGCGCGGCGCGGCCGCGGGGCCCCCCTCGCCCGCCGCGCCGTACTCGCGTCCGCCCTGGGGGCCGCTCTGCGTGGCGACCAATGAGCTCTCCTTGGTCACAGACGGTGTATGGACCCTCCCTGGGCTCCTTCGCGTCATGGAGAAGTCGCGACGGAAGGTCCTTCGCTATGTTCGGCCTCTGGGTGCCCTCACCAAGCCTCGGGACCGCCCAAAAACGGAGAAGCCAGTCCCGGGGAATGCCTGTTGGGGTCGACGCCATGGCCAAATCATGACGTCGGGGGGCCCGTGTCAAGATCCATACACCATCCCCTGCATCCTGGCGCCGAGTTCTCTCTCCCGCCGGGCGGTTCGCCCAGCGTCAGCGCCGGGACCACCACAGAGAGATCCGGCTCGAACAATGCAGCAGAAAGACCATCTCCAGTTCCCGCGATGTTGCAATGATTCGTAACGTCGGGCCTCAGGGGGTCACAGCCCTGACCTCCTCGCGCCGCAAAATAGCCAGACACGGCAGAAGGCTTTGGGCAGCTGTCGGCCCCCGGGGGCCTTCGCCCGGGCCGGGAGACGGTCCAGAGACGACTCACAGGATGAGAGGCCAGTGCCCAGGAACAGGGAGCCCACAAAGGACGTACGCGCCCAGCTATGTACATGAACACGGCCCCTCGATCCGCGAGACCAGCCGCGTTATACGAACATTTGCGCAGTGCGTGCTCTCGAAACCAGCGTGGATTCATGTACATGTACGTCCTTCTTTCGCTCCTGAAGGAAGGCCTCCAGACCTGCGGCGTCCCGGGGGCCAATCTGGCATTTGCCAGGCATGGCGGTGGCGCAGGGGTCCGGCTGAGCGCAAGAGGGGCCCTGGATAAGGGTGACCTTTGGTGCGCAGCTTGACGGTGGACGCGGGGTTGCCGAAGCTTGGCGCGCAAGCCGCTGCTACCGCTTCGAATTCAGCGATCTTGTGACGCCGCTGGGCCCGCACCAAAGGTCACTCCAGCGAGAGCTCACTCTTGAGTCTAGCCAGAGGATGCCCTCGGCGGGTGCGGCGCGTCCTCGAAGCCCGGGGTCCAGCTGCGGCTGGGCAGCTGCACCAGGGGCAACGCCCGGGGAATTCCCGCGGGCATCTGGCGCAAAGCGTGCCGCCCCTCAGGGGGTGCGGTGGGGCTTCGCGTGGCCCAAGTGGGCCACTGGGCAAGGCTCGAGCCAGTACGACTACGGTCTCACCATCGCTCGGACGTCCATTATCATTGCAGTTTTCGACTTCGTCTCGCGAGCTGACCCAGAAGGCTCCTCGAAGGCCCTCCCCGAACAAATGCAAACGTCCGAGCGATGCCAAGCGGTCAAGGGAGCGGGAAGACGCAGGGACCCGCTCCATTCACCATGGTCTCCGCACAAGCCTGCCAGAGACGCGGCATCCTTGCCGATCAATCACTGGATCTTCCCTCCCACGGGCTCGTACTTCTCTCACCCGAATATGTGAATGGGTGGGCAGGGGGTTCGGCTGGCGCCTTGCCTGCGGCCGCTTCATAGGCGCATTGTGGGCGCCCCGTGCGATGGGTGCATTACACATGCCGCACCACATTATGAGCCTGAAACGCAGACATTGCAGAACATAGCTTACATCACAGAGCTTGCCCCACATAGCTTGAAACGCACAACTTACGCCACATGCATTGCAACATACATATTAAACAGTTTGAACCGCACAGTTGTGCACAACATATTTGGCATTACACTGGTTGCACCGCATCACCAATTGCAACACGCAAGAACGCCATCACAAAGCTCCTAAATCCTAGCATGCACTGTGTATGCATGTGTATGCATATACTAGCTGGCATCACACGCATTTCCGCACATGATTCGCACCGCATAGCTCGCAGCACGTAGCTTTCACCACATAGCTGGCAACACATCGGTTGCGCAACACAAAGAACGCATGCCACAACTCGCCAATGCGACTTTGGGTGTGGCAAATATCGCCTGCTTCCCGCACTGCCACGCCCCGTCGGCGCCTCGTGTGCTGGGTGGACGCGGCGAAAGTTCGCCTGGTTCCCGCCCGTGGCCTCCCGTGGGCGCCTCGTAGGCGCCTCGTGGCACCACGCAGATTGCACTCTGGGCCAGCAGGGCGAGTGCCGTGGTGAGTTCACGGAGCCTTCTCAGAACAGCGATGGCCGATGTCTCGAGCATCGGTCGCGGCAAAAACGGTGTGACCCCCAAGACCTTGCCACCAGTCCCACATGATTTGGACCACGTGCACTGCGACGCACGACTTACGCCACGTAGACTGCAGCACACAGCCTGCACCGCAGAGCTCCGACCACATCGCTGGCACCCCACAGATTACACAGAGGTGTTGCACCACATGCATTGCACCACAGAGCCTGCACCGCGTTGCGTGACCCACAATGCTCGAACATTCACAATACAATTTAGGGTCAACGCTGGTAAACAGGTGTTCTACCAGAGAACAGACATTACAATGAGTTGCCGTTCCATGTAAGCGCCATGTGATCAACAACTCGCCAGGTAGACTGGGAACGATGCGCACACCGACCAAACGAACAGGCGAGCAAACGCAATGAACCAATCAATCCCAAGAGTGGGTCTGACATTTCAGATTGTCTTTGGGAGGCTTCTGTAGTTTTTAGTTTTGGGATGCGAGGGAAGCCTTCCCACGCCTCCGAATTCTACAGGAGCCCTCATTTTCGATACCCAGTGAACTGACTGCCCAGGTCCAGAACAAGGGCAGTCCAAAGGTTGCCCTTAATCGCGGATAGGGTTGAAACACTTGCATCGTCAGACGGATCGTATCGAACCCTATCAGCGGAAGTGAGTCGCTACTGGCGGTGTGGAATGAAGTCGGTCGATGCCACGCGCATATGGCGAATCGCTCCCGGGAAATTCTGAAAATGCGGCGTTCCCTACGGTCAGAGTCTTGCTGTAAGTACCATGCGGCGACAAGGCTCATTATCCAACCCAATGTCCAACATTGGAGGGCCGTCTCTGCCCTCTGTCCGGGCCATCCGCACCATATCCGAACCCTCCAAAATTTCTCCGAGGCCGTTGAGGCGCTATCCGAAGCCACTCCGAGGCTACGCGGGCCATTCTGAGGCTGTCCCAAGGGACATCTGGACGCCGAAGGAAGCAGGGCAAAGTCGGAGCAGCGGAAGTCTCCCCGCTGATATCACGCAACATGTCCCCTTCAGCTCCTTGCCATTAGTCCTCTGCCAAGGATACCCAGTACAAGACACATGTTTTACGCGAAAGGCCCCGTACAGGCACGAACAATGACTAAACACGTGTAAGCAACATACGAGTACGAGGGCCCAGTATGGGCACGATTCTCTCGTACCCCCTCCCAGTGCAGTACACGACAGCACGATGCCTGCCGGGGGGCTACCACGTCTGCTCCTCCAACTCCTCCCCCTCGACCAGCTCCAACTCCAGCTCAAACTTAGTCCGCCAGTCCTCCTCGTGATCCTCCAGAGGATCCAGACGACTTACTCCACATGCGGGCGCCTCCTAGGCCACCATGGAGCGGGAACGCAGGGGAGCGGAGCGGGAGAGGCATGGGGAGGACGGGGGAATCAGGGACAGATGGGAGGAGCGGCAGGGCCATGTCCTTTTCTCCTGCTTGTCTCGCGGGGTGCTGGCTGCTGTTGCCGCGAAGCGGCTGCACAGCTTGCCGCCTGGAAAGCACATCAGGGGCTGGCCAAATCTCCAGGGGGGGGGGGGGGGGGCCTGAGCCGTGGCGAAGGGAGCGTGGGAGGCCCAGAGGATGCCCGAGCAAGGGCGTCCAACAGACAGACGTCGGTCCTCGATCCTCCTCCCACAGCCGACAAACGCGGAGTAAGAGAAGGGATCGGTTGCGCTGGCCACGACGAGACTCGGCCACGGACAGATACCCGACCCAGATCGGAGGATCGGCCCGGGAACTAGAGCCCCTCCTGAGCACACAATGGGCTTCACTTCGGCGTCGTTGCTGAGTGACAAGTTCTGAATACTACTCTCCTCTCTCTCTCCCTCCCCTGATCCCGTCAGGAAGACAGCCGGTTCTCTTCGCCCATGGTCGTTTACACATAGAAAATGGACAACGCTAACTTCCCCATGGCATTTAGCAGTCCGGCTGCTTCGGTGTTTCAGAATGGTGTTCCCGCTGCAGCGTGGGCCTCATTATCGGATCGGCGCTCTGCTCTCGTCGTTCAGACGTTCGCTCTCGCCCCATCTGTTCTATCGTTGTCGCGCCCCCCCCACCTCCCCTCCGCCGCCTTTCCCCGGTCCTCCTGCTCCTGCCGCTGCGTCAACTACAGTGACTGCAGTTTCTGCTGCTGCTGTCCGCCTGCGTCCTCCTCTTTCCACATCCTCCACCTTTTCCTCCTGCTGATCCTCCGCATCGCCCGCCACCTCCTTCTACTCCTCCTCCCCCTGCTCCGCCTCCTCGTCGGATATACGCAGCTTCCGTTGTCACTGACGCATAACGCGAGAAGGGTTTTGTTGTTGTTGTTCCAGGTCGGCATTTGACACGTGTGCGAGGAAAGGGGAGACCTTCGCGTAATTGGAAAGGATGGGAGGGATTGGATGTCAGATTTGGCGCGAATGCGACTTCACTCCCACGACGTCGTGATGCTTTAGAAGGCCGGACCCCTTCCCCGAGACCGTGAAACAACTGTAATTGTTTGACGGCCCCGAGACCTGGCAGAGACCCCCAGAGACCACACACGGCAATCGCAACATCCGTCGTAATTTGTTGCTCGCGACGCGAAGATGTCAATCTTCGGGGCGTACCTCGGGCCTCCAACGGCCGTCTCGGACGAGTCGCGCGCCCCCGGGGGCCCTCTCGGCAAGGCGCGGCTGCGGAAGGTCAACCAGGGCTGGCAGGAACCTTTTGGGATCATGCAAGAGCTGCACGGTTTCCCATAGGGCCGTAGGCGACACGAGGAGGAGGAGGAGAAGGAGGGGGAGATGGAGGAGGAGGAGGAGGAGGAGGAGAAGGAGGAGGAGGAGGAGGAGGAGGAGGAGGAGGAGGAGGAGAGAGGAGGAGGAGGGGGAGGAGGTGGAGAGAGGAGGAGGAGGAGGAGGAGGAGGAGGAGGAGGAGGAGGAGGAGGAGGAGGAGGAGGAGGAGGAGTTTTTGCTCGATGCGCGAACCCCGCTGTGCTAAGCCTGGGACGCACGGCTGGCGCCGTGGACATTCACCTAATTAGGGGAAGAGGGGAGGAGGAAAGGGAGGAGGAGGAGGAGGAGGAGAAAACACAAGACCTGGCGCGCGGCACAACGAGCGGCTTAAGATGCTGGCGCTGCATTTTCGCTGCCGCCGGGGCCATCCGGCAAAACGACGAGGCCCCCAAATTTGGCGTCCATGGCCAGCTCGCCGAAAGGCTGGGGCCGACGGTCGCCCAAGGACACACCGGTTCCTGGGTCCCGCGACTCCCACAACCGGTTGAGGCGGAAAGCGGTGGCGCTCTGTCTCGCGACACCCCCGCGGCAACCCTCCGCAAACGCCCTGGTGTTGTCGCGCGAGTAACACCCGCATGATGCACAGAAAATGTGATGACCTACCGCCCACAGGCGATGGCGACGGCCCCCCGCGACGCAGCGAGGTAGGTGCGACATCTGTGTGCCACTGCGCAGGCACCGCACACAACGAAACTTGCCACAGAACTTGATCACATCGTGCCTACCGTCTTGCGCGGGGAAATCCGCAGTGAGGACAGGAGCGGCCCGGCTGCAAAGAGCGCGGCTGCGTTCCTGCTGTGGGAACGGCCACGCGTGCAAGAACCGACCGAGAAAACGGCCCACGCACTGCGCAAGGTTGAATGCCCCGACCACCCTCTGCTCCGCAGCGGCGTCGCTGGGATGGGAGCGGGCGCCCTTTCGTGCAGCAGAGTCGGCTTCCGCATTGCCGAGCCGAAGATAGCGGGCGTTAGGGCTGCTGTCGTCGTCGCTGGCCCTGGCATGCCCTTTGACCTTGCAAACCCGCACCTGGAACTCGAAATCGTCAAGGGCATCCCAGATAGCCGTCCACAAGTCGGCTGCGACACACCCGCCATGAGTGGTCTCCCAGCGCCCTTTGGCGAACGAGGAAACCACCCATTGGCAATCAGAGTAAAAAACTATGTCCGCCACTCCGCGGAACTTCATGCATGCCAGAAGGGCCCATCCCTCCGCCACCTCGGAATCCTGCACGTGCCCCGGCACGGGCCCATATGCTAGGGCCGTGACCGTGCCCGACGGCGACACTTG